AAAAGTTAGTTTTTAAGAAAATAATAAGAAATAGAAACCACAATTAGAACCTCATTGGGCCCTGATTTCCAACATCCTCATATCATTTGGTTTTTAACATTAATTAATGGCAATTTCATGTAAAGCAAAATCAAGATAACATAAATCAAAATTTATGGATCCAATAAATAATAAATCCCTGTTCCATGTAAGCTAGATAGCAAAACAATATCCTTATTATCGAATATATATCATTATAACATATCCAATTTCTTAACTAGATCTTGTAAGGCAAAAAAGGGAAAATATAAGTAAAACTAATACCTGTCTTTGACGCTGGAGCAGGGTTCCATCATCTCTAATTTGGCAGCAAGTCGAGCAACGCAGCCATCTTGCACCGGTAGAAAGTAAGAAAGTACCTACGCCATTGCAACAAGCATGCAGAAGCTACTCTGCAACACCACAATAGGTTGGCAACTTTGTCAACATAGCCATTAATTCCAACTGCTAACTCCCAATTGCATTTTACTTTTCATTTATTGCCTTTAAGTAGATTTTGCCTATAAATAGCCATGTTCTCACCATTGTATGCACAAGTGTTTTATCAGTTAATGAAGTTTCAATTTTCCTTTGTTTTGAGTTGAGTTTCTTGAGAGTCATTCTCTTAATTTATCTCTGTATCTTAGGTCTTGCCAACTTAAGTGGTGATCCTGATAATCGAATTCATCGTAGTGGGATTTTAAATCTCGCTAAAATCGGTATTTCGGTATCGGTTCCTACCCCATTTGGTATCAAAGCCAATATATTTGGAGTCTGCACGTCATTCTTTCTGAGCATTCTGGTGAAAATCCGGTCGATGAACAAGCAAGCACGCGCCTACACGCGCCACCGCCGTTGTCTAACGCGCCGGCCCCTTGCACCACTGCAAATCGCGTGAAGGTCACGCACCGATCATCTTCAACCTCTATACGCCACGTCATCATCCAGTCACTGCCACATCATCTATTTGCCACGTCGTCTGTGCCACGTCACTTGACACGTCATCAAAAACGTCATTGACACGTCATCAAACACGTCATTGACACATCATCGACACGTCATCACCGCAGCCACACTCTTTGCCACGTCATCAAGTCCCTCAACTTATTTTGACCTTACAGATTGATCCCATAATTTTATAAATTTCAAATTACCTCCACTTTCAAATTATAACTTTCCAAAAAGCCCCTTACCAACCTAAACTCATCATGCCTCCTAGAAGACAAAATCCTCCTCGTCAACGAGTTGTTCGGGACATAGAAATAGAAGAACTACGTCAACAAATTCAAAGGCTTCAAGAAAGACTCGAAGCTTTTGAGGGACAGCAAGCTCAACACCCGCAAGATGAACCACATGAGTCAGAGGAAGATACTGATAACGAGAATCCCTTTCATGACCTAAGGGATAATGAAAGCTCATCATCAACAGAAAAAGTTCGTCATCGACGACGTCCCCAACAAAATGCTGCTCCCAAATCCACTGACCTTGGCATCAAAATTGATATTCTAGATTTTGAAGGTCGCCTTCAACCAGATGAATTTATCGGCTGGTTGCACACTGTGGAGCGTGTGTTTGAACTCAAGGATATTCCTGACGACAAGCGTGTGAAGATCATCGCCATCAAATTAAAGAAGCATGCATCCATTTGGTGGGAGAATCTCAAACGCAGTCGAGAAAGAGAAGGCCGCAACAAAATTAGAACTTGGGAGAAAATGCGTCGGGAACTCACTCGTAAGTTTTTACCTGACCGTTACTAGCAAGATAATTTTGTTAAATTTCATAACTTGCAGCAAAAATCTTTGACTGTGGAAGAATATACTATGGAGTTCGAACAATTAATGATGAAGTGTGATGTTCAGGAAAAGGACGAGCAAACCATAGCTCGATATCTTGGAGGGTTGGACTATGACATTTCCAAAGTTGTTCAACTTCAACAATATTGGACTTTGGATGATGTAGTTCGACTAGCATTGAGGGTTGAAAAGCAAATCTCAAAGAAGAATATCACTAATGCTTCAAAACCGTGGGATTTTGCAGCCAGCAGAGGGACTCAAGCCTCAAAAACTACTGCTAAGGCCCCTGCCAAGACTGAGAAGGAAGTCAGCTCGAGTCGTCCAGCTCAATCTAACACTCGAAAGTGTTTCAAGTGTCAAGGATTTGGCCACATAGCCTCCGACTGTCCAAATAGGAGAGTTGTCACCATTATCAGAGGAGAAATTCATGAAGCCTCAGAAGATGAAGCAAAAAAGGAGCAAAATGATGAAACTGGGTCACCCCAACTTGAGGAAGAACTCATCCCAGCTGACCATGGAGAGTCTTTGGTTGTGCGTCGTAGTCTACATGCTACCATAACCAAGGATGAAGATTGGCTTTGACATAACATCTTTCACACCAGATGCACTTCTCGAGGGAAGGTCTGCAATGTCATCATTGACAGTGGAAGTTGTGAGAATGTTGTGTCAAATTATATGGTTGAGAAGCTAGGTCTGCCTGTCAAAGATCATCCCCATCCATACATGTTACAATGGCTACGAAAGGGAAACGAGGTAAAAGTCACCAAACGTTGCCTTGTCTCTTTTTCTATTGGTAACAGGTACCAAGACGAAGTATGGTGTGATGTTATTCCTATGGATGCTTGTCACTTGTTACTTGGTCGCCCTTGGCAATTTGACCGAAAGGCTATCCATAACGGCCATGCCAACACCTACTCGTTTGTGAGAGATGGTGTGAAGGTCAAGCTCACTCCCTTGAAGCCTGAAGAAACACTTGAAAAAAAGGAAATCCGATCTCTCCTTGAAGAATTTTCTGATGTTGTTCCTGACGAGATCCCTCCTGGATTACCACCAATGAGAGACATTCAGCATGCCATTGATTTCATCCCAGGATTTGTCATCCCAAACAAGCCTGCTTATCATATGAACCCTCAAGAGTATGCGAAACTTCAACGACAAGTCAAAGAACTGGTGGAGAAAGGACTTGTCAAGGAAAGCATTAGCCCATGTGCCGTGCCTGTGCTACTCGTCCCAAAGAAAGATGGAACTTGGAGAATGTTTGTAGATAGTCGAGCAGTCAACAAAATCATTATCAAGTACCGCTTCCCAATTCCACGCCTTGATGATATACTTGATCAACTGCATGGAGCTACTGTCTTCTCAAAGATTGATTTGAGAAGTGGATATCACCAGATTAGAATGCGTCCCGGTGATGAATGGAAGACAGCATTCAAAACTAGAGATGGTTTGTACGAGTGGACGGTCATGCCATTCGGATTGTCAAATGCTCCCAGCACTTTCATGCACCTTATGAACCAGGTATTTCGACCCTTTACTGGGAAATTTGTTGTGGTTTACTTTGATGATATCCTGGTATATAGCAAGAATGAACAGGAGCACCTAGACCATCTTCGGCAAGTTTTTGAAGTCCTTAGAGAGCAGAAACTTTATGCTAATCTCAAGAAATGTTCATTCCTCACTACAAGTGTGACATTTCTTGGATACATCATCACTGCTCAAGGTATCAAGATGGACCCCAGTAAGATTGATGCTATTGTCAACTGGCCTACACCAACATCGATGCATGATATTCGAAGCTTCCATGGCCTGGCATCTTTTTACCGGAGATTCATCAAGAATTTTAGTTCTATTGTTGCCCCAATCACTGACAGCCTCAAGGGTGACAAATTTTCATGGAGTAGCAAAACCCAACAGAGTTTTGAAGAATTAAAGAGGAAGCTCACTGAAACCTCTGTACTTGCACTTCCCAACTTTGACCTGATGTTTGAAGTAGATTGTGATGCTTCTAATGTTGGAATTGGTGCAGTGTTAAGTCAAGAAGGTCGATCCATTGCCTTCTTCAGTGAAAAGTTAAATGACATAAGGCTCAGATATTCCACCTATGACAAGGAATTCTAAGCAATTGTTTGAGCCTTGGAGCATTGGAGTCATTATCTTCTTTCCAAAGAATTCATCTTGCACTCTGACCATGAGGCATTGAAGCACCTGAATTCTCAACAGAAGATCAGTCGTCGCCATGCTGCTTGGAGTGAATTTCTACAAGCTTATCCTTTCCTCCTCAAATACAAATCAGGGGTCCAGAATCGTGTAGCTGATGCTCTGAGTCGCCGACATGCCTTGCTTACTTCCTTACAGATGAAAGTCACTGGATTTGAAGTGATCAAGGAGTTGTATGAGGATGATCCTGATTTTAGCAACATTTGGCAAGCCACTTCTAATCAAGCCTTTCAGCAATATCATCGTCAGCAAGATTACCTCTTCAAGGGTAACCGACTATGTGTTCCACGTTGCTCACTCCAAGATTCAATTATCTGGAAAGCACATAATGGTGGATTAGCTGGTCATTTTGGGAGAGACAAGACTTTAGCTCTTATTAAAGAAAGTTTTTACTGGCCAAAGTTGGAGCAGAATGTCATTCGTCACATTCAAAGATGCAAAGTTTGTCACCAAGCCAAGACAATCAATCAAAACACAGGGTCGTATCTGCCATTGCCTATCCCAACTTCACCTTCAGATAGAGATGTGAAGTTCATGAGTCATTTTTGGAGGACTTTATGGAGAAAGATGGGCACTCAACTCCAGTTTAGTTCTGCTAGCCATCCCCAAACCGATGGGCAAACTGAAGCTATCAATAAGATTTTGGGGAATCTACTACGAAGTTTTGTGGGAAAGAATTTGCGACAATGGGATCTTGTGCTTGCCCAAGC